GTAATGCATTACTTTTAAAAGTAACTTTCCCCAACACTGTGTAATATAATTATTTATTCAAATGGACCAAAATGAATGAAATATAAGGTGCTTTTATACCTCGTAGACGTGTCCTACTCTGTAGTCAGAGAAGATGATCACAGGTGGTTTCGCAGTGAAGATGGGACCAGGACTTAAGACAGAAAGGGAATTTTGTGACAATAATTTGCCATGTATGAGCTTATAATAAGTATACCCAAATAAATAAACAGAATAGAATGCAGTAGTTTTGTCATATAACTGTCCATCAGTTTATGTGCAGTAAACCAGAATCATGTGTTAATTCACAGAATACATTTGTGCATTTAGAAATTAACCACAGGAAAAGGGGTTTAAAAACCAGTCACAGTAACTAAAATATATACTTTCCCATTTACAGTCAAATATTTGAATCTAATTTCTTGGCGTACATGCTTTGTATCAACTGCCCAGCCACACTTTATGAAGTATCTCATTCAAACGGGATCTTCTGTTCTGTTGTCGACTACCAAGAAGCAGAAAACAGTAACTACACAGAACCCATTGACTCAAAATACAGAAAGAGTCAGCTGAGGCATTTCGATAGTCTTGTGATTCTTCTGGCCGCTGTGAAGGGAAAATGTCCTCATTTAAATGGCCAAAGACATTTCAGTTGGGCCAGACAAGTGAAACAGGCAATGGAGTGATTCATTTGGAATCCAGTTTTCAATGTTCTCTTTGATTACCTCCACCTGGCATGCTGATATGTGCTTGGAGACAATAAGACAAATAAAAAACTTATATAGGCTACATGGCTGATTATACTCATAGAATAATCCATTCTGCTGGTTTGCAATTGCACGTTGTGCTTTTTAGATGTCATACGAAGCCAAACGAAAAAATATATCACAATACATACAGGTCAGCATTTATAATACATGGCAGACAAAAGGGTGTGACCTGTTTCTTGAGTGTTCATGTGCATCATATTTCCCCTACCCAAGCTGCACAAATATTATGGCAATAATGGTTGAATAAAGCTGACCAAAATACAAACAGTGCAACAACAAAGGACAAGGCTTATAGGGATTAAAAGAAAATTCATAAAGCAGTCTATTTGCTTTGAATTTGATAGGACATTCATTATTTAAAGGTGATGTGGCCAACTTTTTGTTGACCAATGAAAGATGAGAAAATAAATAATTTTAAAACAAATAATTAATATACTAATTATACTAGCTAATTATAGAGGTTGTAGAAATTAGACATCAAATAAATTAATATCGAGTGTATCTATAAGTATGATCTTCCAAAAGAAAACATATTAAAATCAAAAGCACAGGCACACCTTTCTCTTCCAGTGTTTTTCATGCCTTTTCCCACATTCTCCGGCCTCTTCCCTGGCATGATGAGAGAC